TTGGATCAAAGCATGTACAGATGCGTATGAGCAGGTGAATTTAATACTTAATAAAAGATGTGCATACATTATTATTGCTTCTTCACTTGTGTTTAAGGTAATTCTACCATTAATATATTACTACTAGTATACAATTGATTTTAGTTAATGCCCCAGTCCTGCTAAACGGTCTTCAATCTAGATGGCTTGAATTTGTAAGTTCAATTTCTCCAAATCTCAACTCGTTGTGACAGGTACCAATACTGGGTAATAAAATTCTCTCACTGTTAATAGAGTTGGCAAAATGTACAAACTACAAACCAATTGTGTTTGGATTGCATTTTTCATAGAAAAAATTACTGTAGCAATTTGATGTATGCGAGAAAAAAAGGTAATTGGGAAATGTGATTACGGAAAACGATGTAATTTTCCGACGGAAAACCGCAATCCAAACAAGGCAAGTTGTTCTAAAATTCGAAATCCCAATATTCCTTTTTTTTTTTTAACGAGTTATGACAAATATTTCGTATTATCTGGATGTGAAATTCCAAAATTTGTATCTTCGGTTAACAGAAAAATTTTTTTCTCTCATTGCTTTCCAACAAAAGAGCATTCTCATCCCTCCTCACCATATCTCAAAATATATTAAACGAAAAAGGCTTTCTAGGTCCTTAAATATATATATATATATATATATATATATATATATATATATATATATATATATATATATATAGTTTCTTAAATACTAAAACAACTAACAAACAGAGGAAAGAGTTTTGCCTGAGAGATCCATCATTAATTTAATACAATTTTCTTCTTCTAAGGCAACTCATATCATATATCACAGATGCGACACCATAAAGTAAGATAGATTTTCATAGACGCTTTGTAAATATATCATATGTGTTATATCACTGAGATCATTTATAAAAAATGACAAAAAAGTACAACATATTTCTAGGAAGATAGATGTTTTTGATAGAAAAAATCATTTCATTCAATAAATTTACACTAATGACAAAAAATACATTAAACAAATATGATACAGATACGTGTAAATCCAAAATTAATGGATACAAATAAATATCAATACAAATAAATATCAATACAAATAAATATCTAAAAAATCAATACAAATAAATATAACATTGATGCTCCCACATATCTTCCAATCGCATGAATTATTGTAACCCAATACATTTGTGCATGTCTTTTAACGGACAAACACTACAAGAAAATTGGTCATCAGTGACAACTTTTCTCTGTGACGAAACAAAGTTGTCACAAAAGGGGATCCTTTATTGACGACTTTATAACTCGTCACAAACCTCTAATGGGAGCCAACTCATTTGTGACGACTTAAAAAAGTCGTCACTAGTAAATTCCCGCCAAGATTTAGTAAGAGTGCGGGAGTGTTTAGAACACACAATAGTGACGACATTAAGAATATCATCACTATTGCTTGGCCTATTTACGGACGACTTTATGTTGTCGTCACTGATCACCAAAAAAAAAGTTATTAGTGACAACATTTTTTAGTGATGACAATAAGTCGTCACAAAAGGAGCTTCTTTAGTCGCGATACTTAAGGTTGTCACAATTGCATCAAAGCAACTAAATATTTAGTGACGACCCATTATTTTCGTCACAAACTACACTGCAAGAAATATGGTCATTAGTGACAACATTTTTTAGTGACGACAAAAGTCATCACAAAAAGTGGTTGTTTAGTGACGACAAATATAGTTGTCATAATTGCTCAAAGCAACTAAGTCTTCAGTGACGACCTTGAAAAACGTTGTCACTAAAATGATCTTTATAGTGACAACTTGTAATATCGTCACTGTAACTCTACCGATTCGGATTTAGTGACAAGAATTAATCGTCACTGTTTAAAGTACTTATTTCTAAGTCACTTTCAATAATTCTACTGTGCCACCCTAACTTTTGCGATTTAGTCCCAAATGTTGTAAAAAATTCCATTCATTCCATTATGATACCCTTTTACAATTTAGCCCCATATGTAGTACACCGATTTCTTTAATTCTATTATTTCCCTAACTTTTGTAATTTAGCCCCATATGTAATTCACCAATTTCATTAATTCTACTATGGCACTCTAACTTTTGCAATTTAACCCCCATATGTAATACACCAATTTTATTATTTCTATTATGGCACCCTAGCTTTTACAATTTAGCCCCTATTTTTTATTAGGAAATTGCGAATGGTATGTTGATAAACTATGCATAAATATTTTATAATTTTCTCAAACTTAAGTAATAATTTGTTATAAACTCTAAAGATATATCTTTCATTACAATAGTTATAAGGCAGCCAAGTCTTTTTATCAATGGAATAAGAAATTTATGCCAGATTTATCCTTTATACTACGTGCCAAGTAGTATTAGCAAAGGAATAACAAAGTAATTAACAAAATAGCCTTCAGGGAGTGTAGTTTATGGGCAAATGAGTATTATCTATTCAAAGTACCAACTTTTTATGGGCATTTTACTCTCAAACATATAATTTATGATAAATTTATAAATGTTTGTAAGTAAAATTCAAAAAGTGTTACACTGATTTCTCTTACAAAACGAAAACTGGCAGGTTATCTTTTCAACATAAATTAAATTTTTTTAAAAAAAGAAATGGCCCATAAAGTACCAACTCTTTGCAGTGTTGTATTTGTATAGATTGGACTGTGATTTCTAATTTCTTGCTGGTGTTGTAATATGTGGGCCCAAATTATATGAGGTTCTTAATGAATTGTAATTTTTGTCTTAATAATCTAAGTCTCATTACTTGTTCTTTATTATTGTACTCCTCCCCTTACCTACTTCTTTTACTCTTTTATGACAGATAAATGCTATTCATACTAGCTTTTGGAAGATATCTATGGTTATGGTTGAATAACGTTGAAGAGAAAATTGCCTTTTGCTCATGGAGTGGTTCATTTAGATGTTTTTCAATTTCTTAAACTGTAATTGCTTTTGTACTTGTACCTTATGTACAAGTGATATTTTGGACAAATGTTATTTTTGTAGGCATTAGTTGGGTAATGTACACTTGAATTTGGCATTTGAGAATGCTATATTATTACCATGTAATCTAATGCAAATACTTTTGGTTATCAATCGTTCATGTTTATTTGTATGGTTTGTTTAAAATCAATGATTTAGCAATGATTACAGGCCAAATTATGACTATTAAGCTATTGAGAAATTATCTAATGACAAAAAAAAGTTGTCACAAAATAGAAAATAAAAACTCCTTGTCACAACAGAGACTGTCACTAAATCTAAACTACATTTGTGACGACAATTGTTATCAGTAAAATAGTTATATACAATGGCTTTTGGTGCTTTTTAGTGACGACTTTAAGTAGAGCATTTTTGACAAAAGGTCAATTCGTCAATAAAACACTTCCAGATTGTTGTCACTAATGACAACTATTTAGTGACGACCTGAAATGTCGTCACTAAATAGTTGTCATTAGTGACAACAATCCGGAAGTGTTTTATTGACGAATTGACCTTTTGTCAAAAATGCTCTACTTAAAGTCGTCACTAATGAGAACTATTTAGTGACGACATTTCAGGTCGTCACTGTTTACTTTTACCGACGGGGATTTAGTGACGACTTTGTGACGATCAAAAAGTCGTCAATAAAAGGTATTTGTGACGATATTTGTATGTTCTGTGATGACTTTGTGTCGTCACTGATGAACAATTTTCTTGTAGTGAAATCGGATTAAAGCTAGTTCAAATCCAATGAGAAATTCAAATCTGACAATAACGGAGAAATTGCAAATTTGAGAAACTAGATATTCGATCTACACAATCTCAAATTTCACAAAATAAAAAATAAAAGCTAAAAAAACTCTCACAAGGAAAATAAAAAAAAACCAATCTAAAAGAGAAGAAACTTGCACTATAAAACCTATGAGAGAATTTATTCAGACAAGAGAAACAAAAGAATTTGGAGAAAGTGCTCTCCCTTCTACGGTGAAATACCAGATTTGATCTCTCTCAACGATGAATGAAATTTTGACTAGAAGAGATGAAGGAAATTTTGATTGAACGGATTCTAGGAAGAAGAAGGAGAAAATAATTCTAAAAAGAAGCAAAAGAAGAGAGGATATTTAAATGATAGATATAAATATAAAAATGTTTAATATTAAGAAGGTGATCCATCATTTAATTCGTCTATATCTTATACAATTCATTCTTAGAGTAGGATTTTCTGTACCATTTTGATCAAAGAATGTAATAACTCTTGAATTTGTTTCAATACTCAGTTTAGTGGGGATAATTCCAGAAATCTCCCTTAAGATTTTTGACAATTGCAGCCACCTGCTTTGAGGTTTAAAAAAAATTACAGAAACCACCTGTTAAAAAGTATGTTTTGATAACAAATGGTGATGCAAGTAAAAAAAAGTAAAACGAATATTTTATATTGCCCCCATTTGATTTACAAAACAAACTAAATTACAAAAGAGATTAAAGATTGACAATGCTTGCTAAGTAAAAAAAATTTAAGCTAGTTTTTTTACCGCAAAACTTAAGCCGTAGTCCAAGGCATCATTTTATAATATTTGGATTTCCTTCTTTTTCTTTGCTAAGTGAGTTGTAAATAAAATATTTTTAACAAATGTACTAGTTGGCTATTTATAAAACTAAGTAAGAATTCCATTTAAATGATCTAGGAATTAAATATGATGTATTAAGTGAGATGAGATTTGACCTTTTGGACAAAGAAATATTTGCAAAATGTGATTTTTTTTCTTTACACCCACTGTTCATTTAGAAATTGTCAAAATTATTAGTCCTTTCATAATACTAACATAGGTAATTATAATTTTTCGAACGTCAAGAAAAGTGGCTGTAATTGTCAGAAGGCTTGGGGAAGTTTATAAAATCATCCTTAATAGTAAGGATAAATATAAGCTCTATCTTGACTTTTAAATCCTCTCATTTTATCCTCTAAAATGGAAAGACACAAGTAAAATTTTCCGTATAAATTAAGGACCACCAATGCCAATAGCTGCACCACCATCAGCATATTCTCAAGTCTCGTAAGAGCAAAGCTTTTCTCACTTTCTGTAATCTGCACAGACAACGTATCCATCTACACCGTCTTTCCATCAACAATGTCGGTCCCTGACCTAGAGTTTTCCACTTCACTTCTTCTTTGCCTCATTCCGCTACTCTGCTTCTTCCTGAAAACTACTCTGACAAACTTCTTCTCATCCAAGGCCGGTAAGCTTCCAAGATCATACCCCTTAATCGGTTCATACTTCGCCATTAAAGCAAACATGCACCGCCGAGCTGAATGGACTGGCGAAATCGTGACCACCTTACCCAACTTGACCTTCACTCTTCGCCGCCCACTTGGCCACAGCCAAGTCTTCACCGCCAACCCCGCCAACGTCCAGCACATACTCAAAACCAACTTCTCACGTTACCGAAAGGGAGAACTCATGCACGTAACCAACAGAGACTTCCTCGGTGACGGTATCTTCAATATAGACGGAGAAAAATGGAAATTCCAGAGACAAGTATCCAGTCACGAGTTCAACACAAAATCCCTGCGTAAGTTCGTGGAAACAGTAGCGGAAACCGAGCTGTCCGAACGCCTCATCCCAATCTTAACCTCGGCTGCAGCTAATAAAACGGTTCTCGATCTCCAAGACATACTTCAGAGATTTGCTTTTGACAATATTTGCAAAGTAGCATTTGGCTACGACCCTGCATATCTATTACCATCTCTCCCTGAGGCCGAATTCCCCGTGGCTTTTGAAGATGCCACTCGTCTCATTAGCGAAAGGCTCAACTCCCCTCTACCGCTAGTCTGGAAAATCAAGCGCGTTTTCAATGTTGGGTCTGAAAAGCAGCTCAAGGAAGCTGTGCGGATAGTTCGTGAATTTGCCAAAGAAGTCGTGAGGGAGAAAAAGCAGGAACTGAGAGAAAAGTCATCAATTGGTTCAGTTGATATTCTATCTCGATTCTTGACCTCTGGCTACTACAACGAAGAATTTGTTACCGATGTAGTGATCAGCTTCATCTTAGCCGGTCGGGATACGACATCCGCTGCGTTAATATGGTTCTTCTGGTTAGTCTTTTGCGACCCACGGGTGGAAAAGGAAATTTTGAGGGAAATCAGAGAGAAATCCGAATCCCCAGTTTATGATGAAGTGAAGGATATGACTTACACACACGCTTCGCTATGCGAAACCATGAGGCTTTATCCGCCGGTGCCGCTGGATACCAAGGTAGCTATGAAGCATGATGTCTTGCCTGACGGGACAGCTGTGAAGAAGGGTACGAAGGTAATATACCATCCCTACGCTATGGGGAGAGTGGAGGCAGTGTGGGGGGAGGACTGGGCGGATTTCAGGCCGGAGAGGTGGTTGGAGGAGGAGGCGGCAGGGGATGGGGAGGGGAAGTGGAAGTTTGTGGCAAGGGATCCTTACACGTATCCGGTTTTTCAGGCGGGGCCCAGAGTGTGTCTGGGGAAGGACATGGCGTTCTTGCAAATGAAGAAGGTGGTGGCTGGTGTATTGCGACGGTTCAGGGTAGTCCCGGCGTTGGAAGAAGGAGAGAAGCCGGTGTTCGTATCGTACTTGACATCCAAGATGAAGGGTGGGTTTCCGGTGAGGATAGAGGAGAGGGTGGAGTAGTCTTGCTGTTTGTTGACTGCTGGCAAACTGATCACTAAACTGATTAGACTGTTACGTCGTCAGTTTTACAATTGTATCAGTCATAGTCTTGAGAAATTGGATTTGAAAGAAATTGGATTGTAATGCAATTGCTGTGAACATTCAAATCCAATTTTGGTATAGAATTTTGATGAACCTTTTGTTTCTTGAGGCTAATTTTACGCTTTTTAGTGGTGACTTTTGCTTTTATTTTTATTTTTCTTTTTTGAGGGAAATAGGCATTGAATACTTTGGTTGATGGTTCAAAACTTGTGAACCGGTGTTTCTTCTCGGGTGATAGTTGATGACTTCACTGATCAACCGACAATATAGTATAGTTTTTTTTTTAATTTACAATTCTTTTCACCTTATTATCCAAACTCACTCTTAATATAATATAGCATCCAGTGATTCATTAATTTAAGATTAAAAAAAATAAAGATTGGTTGCACATTTTTTTAAAAATTTTAAAGAGTGGTTGTGCATTTGAGCATTGCTTACCCAATACTTATTGTTTTGATCAACAGTCGATTTCGTAAGCGGACATCTCATTTCTTACAAAAAGTTGGCCCAATACGTATGCTAGCGAAATTAGTAGTACATGTACTTGTTTATATGCTGCTAGATGTAGTACTGTATATGTACAAGGCCTTAAAATTTTTTTTTGGTAATAATAGGGACTATATATTTGAAGGGCTTAAATTTGATGATGTAGTCCATTACGTATGTACACAGTTCAACTACTGCTAGATTTGTTGTTTATATGGGACCAGCGGCAAGCCAACACCAATACCAACAACAACATACATGGACTTACTTTTAAGCGGCGGCCCATCCACCATCTACCATCTCCAAATCCAAATATTCTAGAGACCGAATGACAATCTGGAGGGAACTGAACTAGCACTGGTCCAGACGGATGCGCTCCTCTCTGAAGAGATTTAAGAATAATTTGAAGAGAACTGAATCACCATTGATCTAAACGGAGGCTGGAAAGTCTTGAAGAGGCCACCGGAAGCAGGAAAGTCTAGATTTTAGAATGTAGGCAAGGGAATTTGATCACTTGAGCCACATCCAAGTAGAGTTTTCAAACTCTCTTGATGACCAACAACTCTTGAATATACATCAATCTGTCCTCTACCTACGATCCAGAACATCTAAGGATATTACAGACCTGTTATTGCCTCAAACTTTTGCAGCCTAAAAGGCCGTAGTCCCTCAAAGAAGGTAATTGTTAAGGAAAAGATTTAAACATTAATTAACTATTTCCGCCAGAAATTCTTTACTTTCGATTCTGGACGATGGACTCGTCTCAAAAAATATATGTACTCCAGTGTTAGAAATCTCAAATGTGTCGGTACTCAACTTTTAAAAATACACGAACGAATGAAAAAGTGAAAACATGATACCATATAATTGAACTCAAAGTCTCGGAGATTGTGGATGTTGTTTTTTCCCTCTATGGATAAGATAATATGGGCCATTCTTTTTTTTCCGGCTATGTTTCCCACCCAGCATCGATCCTTCAAAACGCTACCGGTCTTGAATATTAGTACCTTATTACGTTTATTACGGCGGATTCCAATAATTGCGATCTCTTGATCAAAATAAATTAATTAATTAATAATTGCCATCACTGAACATAAAATGTTTCATGTATACATTTATATATATATATATTTTTTGTATTTACTTTAGATGGTCATAGTTAATGGTTATGGACGACGATGAACACACGTCATAATTCTCATTCATTTTTTATGCATGTGTTGCATAGTCGCACTCGAGAAATATTCTCTGCAGGCAAATTCTGATAGAAAAAAAAAAACAAGACACAAATTCAATGCCAGAGAAATATAAACCCAAAAAATGAAAAAAGAAAAGAAAAGAAAAGAAAAGACGTCGGTAGAGAGAGGTGAGAGATCCACAAGGATAAGGAAGGGAACCACAAATTGAGCCTCAGAAAGCCTCATCATGTGTCGGTCAGAGAAGCGAAGAATAGCTTTCTTTCTTTCGAAACCCAAAAAGCTTACGTCAATTTTTACAAACCTAAACTTCGAGGGAATCTCAAAAGTCGGTATCCTTTGAGATCCCACAGGAGACTTATAACTATCAACCCAAACCCTCCCAACCCCGATGTGGGATACATCTCAGGGAATGACACCCCAAACCTCCACAACGGGGGAGCCTGCTGCTAAGCGAAGAATAGCTTGACAAAGTTTTTTACGCACACACACGTCATGTCATGACCCGTGGATTTCAACGTGGCATCCGCCATAGCCTAGCCAAATTGGCTACGTGACGTATATAGCTAGGTATGGGGAGTAGCTTGCATATATTTTATATATTTATTTTTTAATAATCTAAAGTTAGACTCCAAATCTTGTAAGTATCAAAGAAAAGGGAGAAAGGGTAGAGTTTGAGAATGCCGCTATGAGCTGAGTTGGAGTAGTAATATTTTTAAATAATGTTTAAAAAGCTGGAGCCAGGATGATATTAGGAAGCATGCAAATGACCAAAATTAGCCGACAAAAATCACATGAGGAGCATAGGCGTCCAAGACAAATTATTGCCCGCACAAAATTATGCATCACAATATTGTTCATTAGCATACAGTACTGTGTGTGTGTGTGTATATATATATAGATATTCTATTCTATATATATACACCTCTCCACTGGACTACATTCATCAAAGAACATAAAGGGCATACATACATATACATACATATATACAAGCGAAGCGGGAGAAAGTGGGCAATTATGGCAGATTCACGCTGTCGAGGTATGTCAATTCACCTTTTGAAGTTTGAAGTGATAACAGGAAGTTTTTATTGCGTACTACTAGCGGTAGCGTTTATGCGTCGGTATCGCTCATCCTGGTTGTGTTCGTGTTCCCTAATTTTGGTCCGAGACCACTGATTTATGTTGTGTTGTTATGTTTCCAGAAAGGCAAAAAAAAAAAAAAACAGTGACAAAATTAAGATGTAGGATCTTGTGGCTAATAGTAGCATTACTGAGTGAGTGTAACGTAAATGGGACAGGAAAGAAGTCTTGGCCGGAGCTGGTGGGTGCAAAGGGATTCGCTGCGGCATCGATAATAGAGGAGGAGGATCCGCATGTCCAGGCAATTCTGTTGGAAGACGGAAGTCCGGTGACTATGGACTTCAGATGCGATCGCGTCTGGGTTTGGGTGAACCAGTCCAGGATTGTCATCCGCACTCCCGTCGTTGGCTGACCTTTGTCTTTATCACCTCTATATTGTCGCCGCCTGCCGCCATAATCTGTCGTCAATCTCTCTCTTTTTTTTTTGTGTTGGAGTTTGCTAATCATACGCATCTTATTCTTGTTCATTCTTGTACTCTGATTATACTCCCGTCTCGCATTCTTCCATCCAACCAAAAAAAAGAAAAAGAAAACGAAGATGATGTTAGTGTGGGAATTCACAAAAACAGCGCCACTTACAGTTACAAGAAGAGTACAAGTCCGTCCAAGTTTTGAAACCTTTTTTAACGCGCAAATAAACGAATGATGCCAAGACTTAATAATTATAACAATGGAAACATACGCGAGTTGCTTCTAGTTTTAAAATAATGTCGTCCTAATCAAAAGCCATCCGCGATGCTAAGCAGCTTTCATCAAGGGCCGTATATGACATGTTCTATAACTAACGAGGTATTGTTAAAGCTTATTAAAGTCGTTAGTGTTATGTGTTGCAGTAACCTTCTTCCTGGACAAAATAATTGGTTTTGAACGGCGCGCCAGAATTACTACAAGATATATAGTTAATTAATGTATTAAAATGAACAGTTTAAGGGCCAGGTCATATTAATGATGCTTGAGACGTGCACGTTGCAATTAATTCCCTGAATGAAAAGGATGTAGATGCAACCAACAACTAGGGATGGCAATATGGCGGGTGCCCGCGGGGGCTCTCGGAGAGGGGGTTGGGGCGGGGGCAGGGGAGTATACCCCCGCCCCGCCACCCGCAAAAAAAAATTATATATATATAATTATATATAATATGTAATTTAATTAGTTATAAGCTTATGATAATGATATTATTAGTTAGATGTATTATATAATGTATATTAGTGTATGTAATAAAATTGATAGTATCAATTATACGAATAATTAGACATGTCTACTAATAGAATTTATTAATTAGTTATACTAAATTTACTAATACATTTATACTAAATTTCTAATTACACTTAATAGAATAACACTTTTTTTCTCAAAAAAAAAAAGCACAAACACAATAATGAATTAGTGATTGTATTTGTACCAAAAGTGAAAACTTAACTATTTTAGTTGTATTTATTTCATCATGTTGGATTGTATTCAAATAACTTTTGTTTGATTGTTTTTATGAGTTTCAATTGTAAAATTAAAATGAATAATAACTTGATGATGTATTGATATTTTAGTACTTGATTATTTATTAAAATTTAACTCTAATAAAATTTTATTAACCCCGCGGGAGAAGCGGGGCGAGGCGGGGATGGGGGACCCCCCCCCCCCCCCCCCCCCCCCCCCGGTTGCCATCCCTACCAACAACCAAACTCCTTTGCCTAAAGGAGTTGGCCATCATATGTTTTCTGCAATTATCCCTACAATAAAATACTGTTTGACGGCCCAATTTTACTCGGCCCAAATCTACAAGCTGGACTGGACAGCCTACTTCGCCAGCTGCATAGATAGAGTAGCCAGTACGTGCAAGTCTCACAATTTGGATTTGACTGCGGTCCATCCTTTGTCTATGACGGACGGTTGTGCCGTGTGTAATATATAATAATAATTACTAAGGCAGGGGGAGTCTGGAGTGGGATTGGGAGATCTACGAAGTCCTCAAAATCACGGACGGACTTTTTGCTGTCCTCAAAATCAGTCACATGAAACACGAGCAGCATCTCACTCGTCTGGTCTCTGTTTCGAGGTAAGTAGTGATTTCTACTCCCACTTTCTGATTCCTGCTCTTCTCTTCTGGTACTTGTTCGCCTTCTTACGTCGTACGCATTTCTCGTGTTTGGATATCCTACTTTTTCAGCGGTTCTTTTTGTCTGCACAGGAACAACTTCCCCAAATCTCATAGATAAAACTCAATAATATGAATCTCCATCTTTGTGGTTTCTTCCTAACGAATAAGTTGTGAAATCGCTAAGCAGACCCTTTTGC